TCGTTCATTTAATTAAACGAACACAAAATCTTATTTATGTTCATGTTCGTTCATTTAATAAATAAATGCACATAAACGAACTTCCCGCCGCACGGTTCATGAACGGTTCGCTGAACGTTCAGTTCATTTACAGGTCTAGCAATAGCTAGTGAAGCATTCATAGACCCGCACCTTTGTGTTGAGCGAATATTGGCAAATAAATGACCGGTTAGATATGCTTGTGCCCATAAGTGTCGTGTATTTCCCTTCTCAATCACCCATGGATGCTTTTGGACGTTGAATTCTGAAACAACCGAACGCCATTGAATATCAAATTCCTTGGTTGTCCACCAGGAAGCCATGCATTTTGAGAATGCTGCTGTAAACTTTGGGTCACCAATGTTAGCTTGTGCATTGCGAGAAAGATGCCAAGAACATAATCTATGCTTAGCATAAGGGATAACAGATTTGATAGCCCTCTGCATTGCCCTATCCCCATCGGTGACAACTGAAATAGGTGATTTATTCATCATGGCTTCTAAAAAATTCTGTAGCACCCACTCGAAAGATTGAGACGTCTCGTCAGCGATTATGGCAGTGGCAAACACAATTGTGTTATGGTGATGATTGACACCAACAATAGGCATAATTGGTCGACCATACAAATTATCTTTGTACATTGTGTCGAACGCAATTACATCACCGAAGCATGTGTAATCCGATCTCGATGTAGAATCCGACCAAATAAGATTATACAATGCCCCCGATTCGTCTACCGAGTATGTCATAAAAAACTCAGGATCATCATGTTTCTTATAATCAAAGTAGGCAATAAGCGCATTCACATCCCCATCGACGATTTCCTTTGCTTTACCTCTTTGAAGTGCATTGTAGAGGTCTTTATGTGTAAATCCAACATTATGATAGCCCCCTGCCTGCTGCGTTAAATAGTTCATTACTTGTGACGTGCCAACACCAACCTCTTTCAATGTTGTTGCCTCATCGATATCAGCCTTACTTACAGCTCTATTAAAACGCATAAATGGTGTCATAGCAGGTGTGCACAATGCATGATTATGTTTCTGATCATACTTACTTATAACCCACTGATCGTTTGTATTTGTTGCTGTAACTACGGCTCTAGCCTTACATCCTGTTCTTGTGACTGGAGTATGAGCACGTTGACGATCAACAGTATTGACTTTTGATACTCGAAACCCTTCTTTGGAACAACAAAATTCTTGTGTCTTCACATTCCCTTCCACGTCAAGCCGTGTTGTTCCCTTACGTGCACTAAACCCATGTTCTCGTGCGAATCCCTTGTAAAAGTACCAAGCTTGATCACGTGAACAGAAGAGCTGACCAACCAATTTGTCAGATTCATCAACATTATGTACTTCATGGCATTCCTCGGTTGGCTTAACATTATCTACATCAGTATTATCCATGGCAAAAATTTTGTTGTGCAAGTTCAGTGGTCCAGGAGTTGATGGAGATGTAAGCAAAGGTTCATTTTGAACATGTTTCAGTCGTGCTGCTTTCAATAGGATGTGGTATTGGTAGTGGTAGTTAAACGGTGGGTACAACATTAAATTCGCAGTACATATTTAGGTATGTACAATAACTACAAGTATCGACCCAAAAAACATCAAAACCAATAATTATAATGTAATAGGTAAATTAACAATGTAACAAGTATCGACCCAAACGAGGTGTACGCATATTATATTAGGTCAACATAAAGTATCGACACTTATTAAAAGTATTGATCCCGAAAACATCGAAACCAATAATTATAATGTATTAGGTAAATTTACAATGTAACCGATATAAATATACCGGTTTTATGCTAAAATAGGTCAGCATATAGTATCGACACTTGTTAAAGTTGTGTCGATACTTACGGTCTAGAATGAATGCCAAAAAAGGTGTACCCTTAAAGTGTTGATACATTTATTAAAAAAGTATTGATCCCTAAAACATCAAAACCCATAAGTATAATGTTCAATGAAACCGGTATAATTATATCGGTTTTATGAGAGAATATGTCTAAATCATGTATCGACACTTTTTTAGTTTGTGTCGATATTTTTGTCCAGAATGAAATATTAAAACCAACGAGGTGCAAGCATAAAGTGTCGATACTTACGGTCTAGAATGAATGCCAAAAAAGGTGTACCCTTAAAAAGTGTCGATACATTTATTAAAAAAATATCGATCCCTAAAACATCGAAACCCATAAGTATAATGTAATAGGTAAATGGTCAATGAAACCGATATAATTATACCGGTTTTATGAGAGAATAGGTCTAAATCATGTATCGACACTTTTTTAGTTTGTGTCGATATTTTTGTCCAGAATGAAATATTAATACCCAACGAGGTGTAAGCATAAAGTGTCGATACTTTTATAAAAAGTTTCGACACTTTATGAAATATCGAAACCGATAATTATAATGTAATAGGTAAATTTGCAATGTTACCGGTATAAATATACCGATTTACTTATAAAATAGGTCAATATAAGCGCTACCTATTACGTTATATAAGCGCTACCTAATATGTTATTGTACTTGATAATATTTCCTGTTAAATACCTATTTTATTATATAAACGCTATCTATTACATTATATAAGCGTTACCTAATATGTTATTGTACTTGATAATATTTTCAGTTAAATAATATAACATAACCGGTCTAAATTTTAACCGATCACTTATTTAACCAGTCACACCATATATTAACCGTTTTTTAGGCGTCGCACCGCAGAAATACCCCTCTTTGATTGTTTCCCTGTAAATTATATATAGGACCCAAAGGGCAAACTAGTAAATTAAATCACAGAAAAAACCCTAGCCCCCTAACTTCTCTCTTTTAAAACTCCCCATATTTTGACGCAGCTGCCGCCTTATCCCTCCGCCACCGCCTCCGCCTCGCTTCGCAATGGTACATCTCTCTCTTTCTACATCTTTTTATCCTACGGGAATGTCTCAATAACCTTTAGGTTTAAAAGTTTTCGTTTTTGGACTATGGAAGGCATCAGAGAAGAAGCTGTCGAACCCAATGAGGGAGATCAAAGTTCAAAAGCTTGTCCTGAATATCTCCGTCGGTGAAAGCGGTGATCGTCTCACCCGTGCCGCCAAGGTAAGTAACAAAACCCTAAAACGAGAACTATTTATCTCCCCACACCACAAATTTTTTACCTTTTGTTTATTTTCCCTTACTTTGGTCCTTTTTAGGTCCTAGAACAACTCAGTGGTCAAACCCCTGTCTTCTCCAAGGGTAAAAATTCTGGAAAACAAATGCTGGTTTTGAGTTCTCCTTTGTTGGTTTTAGTTGTTAATGAAAAAGTAAAAATGGGGGATTTTGATGTGAGCAGCTAGGTACACCGTGAGATCTTTCGGAATCAGGCGTAATGAAAAGATTGCTTGCTACGTGACGGTGAGGGGAGAGAAGGCCATGCAGCTTCTTGAGAGTGGTTTGAAGGTTAAGGAGTATGAGCTTTTGAGGAGGAACTTCAGTGATACTGGCTGCTTTGGATTCGGCATCCAGGAGCACATTGATCTTGGCATCAAGTTAGTTTTCTTTTCCCCAACACATCTTTGTTAATTGTAATTCAGGATTTTATGTTGATACTCCATTATGGATACTTGATTTCAATTCACTGTTAACAGGATGATTTATATAACTAAGTTCGGGATCTGTAACAGGTTTAAGTCTGGTTTCATCGGAACATTATGATTACAATATTTCTAATCGGGATCTGTAACACATGATTGTATCTTGCAATGACGTTTGACTTAATTTTGGGGTCGAGACTGGTTTTATTATTTAAGAATGCAGTTGCTTTTCCAATTAATCTTCATTTGAGACAGTTTTGGTTATCTATTATTTTATCCTTGTAACCAAGTTAATAGCAAGTTCGTATTGCCAGCTTCATTCTACTACCAGTTATGTTGAGCTTTTATGTTATGAAGCTTATTAAGGCATAAATTACGACTGTTGTTCTTTTTGTAGGTATGATCCTTCGACTGGTATCTATGGTATGGACTTCTATGTTGTTCTTGAGCGAGCTGGGTACCGCGTTGGCCGTCGCCGCAGGTGCAAGTCTCGTGTTGGTATTCAGCACAGAGTTACCAAGGAGGATGCCATGAAGTGGTTCCAGGTCAAATATGAAGGCGTCATCCTTAACAAGTCCCAAAATATTTCATCTTAGAAATAGCAAGATATGACCTCAGTTTTAGTTTTGTTTAGTTTCTGGGTATCCGATTTTGGGTATTTTATGTTCATCGGATATTATCTTCCCTAATAGATCTATTTATGTACTTTGGGATCGTAAGTACTTTTTCTGTTGGTTTACTGTCTTTAATGTTTCAATTGGAAAAATATTCTCTATTCAAGTATTTTTATTACTTGGATATAAAAAAAAAGAGTTCAATGCCAAACTAATTGTTGTGAAGCGATAAATCCTGGTAATTCCTCAGCGCATATTTCTCTTGTCCTATCCGGCGTGAAGCGAACTTCTCAGCTGATTTTATGGCAAAGCTATCATCTTCCTCCAATGACTACCTAGAGTTTTCATGGAACCTCCCACGGGAATTAGCTCTTACATGCAAAGGGACATTCATGGTCCTCCTTTTCTTAGATTCTAGTTCTTGTAATGACTCTTAGCCCTTCTATTATTCAAAAAAAAAAACTGGCCCTAGTTTTTGGGGCATTTCACCATATCATGGAGTGTAACAGCTACATGTGGTTTGAAGACAGCTGCAAATGAATGGTAAACAGCTATATATTGTTTGAATACAGCTGCAGGGTAGCCGAATATAAGTCAGCAGTGGCAGAAAGACACCTGGTAGTTATAGGGTAAAAGCACATAGTTTGTCGCTTGTCTTCAACATGCCAGTTGGTTTCAATACTTGCTAACCCTCCATTGGTGCATTAACAAATTCATTGAATGAACAAAGATGAGAGAGAGAGAGAGAATGAACTGGATCTACATAAATCACAATGAATGAATGAACCAGATGCTTTAAGATGAAGAATACATTTTACTGAGGAAAAACGTCTGCCATTAATCATCATTAGCAGATCCTAATCCACCTCAGATTGCCCACAAATCATACAAAACATACGTAACACACTCAACTTTTTAGTCATTCAATGACCAAAGAGTAGCAAAAAATAACACACCAGTACAATGATTTCTTTTGTTTTCTCATAAATCGTGTAATTAAATATCAATAATAAATAAATGGAAACTCCAACCAATTTTCTCCTAATCTAGAGATCTAGCTAGAAAACACAAGTTTTTTTTTCTTCATCGGCACCATTTTGCGAGTAGAATCAAGAAAATAATGAGGAAAACTATTGAAGAAATACCAATTGCAAAACCAATAACAACCTTACTTGGCCCATGATGGTTCCCTTTATTAGGTGTATCATCGGCAGCATCATCACTATAATCTGAGTCACTCCCACTGTCTGCAGAAGACTCCTTGGAAGGCGGCGGTGACATGGGCAAACCGTGCTTATCGCATCGGGCAACCCCGAGCTTCAGTTTTGATGACAAGACAGAATGGTTGTAACACAAATTGTCATTCCCACCGACCTTGAAAACAGCCAATCGCTTTATGAAAGTAGCATTGAAAGGTAGAACCCCATGAAACCCATTATTCTCCAGATTCAACACTTTCATCCCTTCCAACTCTGACAAAAACTTGGGAACACTTCCATTTAACTGGTTGTTACTCAGATCCACATGAACCAAACCTGGAATAGCTGACATGGAATCCGGGATTGGCCCAGACAACGAATTGGAAGCCAAAGACAGATTCCTCAACGATATCAAGTCACCCATCTCATCTGGAATCTCCCCATTCAGCCCATTCGACGAAAGATTCAAGAATTCGAGATCTTCAAGAAGCGTCAGGGAAGTTGGTATCTTTCCTTTGAGCTTGTTATCGGATAAATCGACATGGGTCAGATTCAGATGCAAGTGCCTCGGAAGAGAACCGGTAAGATTAGCATGAGAAATGGTGAGGGTCTTCAGCTTATGCATGTTCCCGAGGATCACATAAACACCGCTGGTGCTAACCAGAGTGCCGGAAACTGTTAGATCAGTGAGGTTAACGAAACGCGAGAGCCAGACGCCAGAGAGTCGCCGGAGAGATTGAATGCAGGAGAAGGAAGTGAGGGAAAGTGAGAGATCGGAAGGGAAGCGGATAGGGGATGCGTGGCAGTTAGTGAAAGAAAGAGAACGGAGGGAAGAGAGGGACTTGAGAGCATTGAAGGAGAGTGAAAGGTCTGATGAACAGTTGGAGAGGTGGAGCGAAATGAGGTGGCGGACGGGCTTGGAGTTGTCGCAGACGGTGGCGTTGCGAGGTGAAGGTTGAACGCAGGGGTCTCTTGTGGTGGGGATATCGAGGGATTGGAGTGCTTCTATTTGTTTAGGGTCTAGTGGGGAAGAAGTCGGAGCTTTAGTGGTGGGTGAGGTTGGGGAGGCTGTAGGAGGAGGAGTAGGGGACAGCGCAGGCGTTTTATGGGTGGCCGGTTTAGTTACATTAGCAGTGGTGGCGGCGGAGATGACTGTGGTGGAGAGGATGAAGAGGAGGAAGAACAATGGTGGCTGAGGTTGTTTCATGGTGGAGAGAGAGAGTAGGAGAACAATGAGCCGTTAGAAGTGAAGTGAGATGTTGGATTTGGGTGGGGTTCGACAGTTTGGTCTCAATCTCGACCTTGTATTATTATGGTTTATCATTATATTATGGCGTTTGAGGACAACTTTTTAATATGTATATATATATATTTAATTTTTATTTCAAAATTGAACATTATTTTTATATTGATTGGTTGTTGTCTGATTATGAGAATAATATAAAGAAAAATCAATAATGTTCAATAGAGGCAACCATCTTATGATCCGATGATTTCTTTTACTAGATAATTCTTGTCTTTTATTCGTTTATGTAACATGGTTTAGAGTAGACGACGGACCACGATGAATGATGGAACAAATAAAAGATAACATTTCCCGGCACATCATTTCATTAGTTTTCTAATTTAGTACTTCAAAAAAAATATTTTTATGAATATTCAATGATTAAAAGGAAAAAAAGGTGTGATTGAAATCAAAATAGATATGAGATAAAAAGCTTGTAATATAATTTTTCCACGTATAACTATATTTAGTCAGGAAGAAGGACAGAGTCCTCCTCGTGTCCGAACTTTCTTTGAGATTGAAAAACAGAGACGTGTCAGCTAACAATCGCATTATCCAAGGCCATAAATTCCCATGAAAACTATAAAATTAAAGTCATGAGATTGTGATGGTTCAACGAATCAAGGAGAAGAAGGTCCCATTACATTTCTTTCTTCAAATAATTCACATCTTTATAACTCAGCAATCAATGGAGATGCAAATCTGAGCTGGGTCGACAGTGTTCACAAAAGGGTTGATTCGGACCCATTCAAGAGAGGAGACAGAGGCCTTGCCAAAAAGTGGACCTCAAGCGGCGTATCCTTTGCTGAGTGCATCTGAGAATCCAGCAACCACACCAACCATGTTGACGATAAGAAGTGTTGTTGGTGGAATCAAAAGTGGTGTCCACTTCACTATGTACAACTCTTCAAACTCTGCGTCTTCAGCTGCTTTGGCTGTGACTCTGAAATTGGTGTCAATCCCGCTAGCATCTTAAGAAATCCTTGGAAGACGGCTAACAGATGAGCTGAAACGCCTCCGATCACCCAAAACTGCTGATTACGCCACAAGTCATCTATGCTCACACCACTCCATCGGAGCTCCAGCACGACTGTCATGATTATGGAAAGGAAAAGACCCAAAAACAGAACGCTTGCCAGGTTTGAGAGCTAGTGATAATCAATGTGATGCAATGTAAGCTGGGGATATTGGAATTACCCGCATTAAGTAAAAAAAAAACAAGATAATTACCGTCGGTATGATAAGTTTTTCAGTGACAAGGCAGATTGCTGGCACTAAACAGTAAACAATGAGAGGAAGAGATGTAAATGGATAAACAATAGTGTTGACATGTTCCAGTCTTTGAAGCCATTTCAGTCGACCGCCTCCAAAGCCATACCATAGGAGGCAATGCCTACTAAGGAAAATTTTTACAGATCCAAAAGCCCATCGAAGAACTTGGTGCAACCGATCAGACAGATTGATATGTGCAGATCCTTTGAATGCAGGCCTTAAGGGCATACAATAAATAGATCTCCATCCTTGACAGTGTATTTTGAAACCATTTAAGATATCCCCATTAACCAAACCGTATATCCATCCGATCTGAGCACAAAATTAGTGTATTTTGAAATTATTAGTTGTAGATGAGAGATATACATATGAATATTCGAGAAATTTAGCTAAAGAAAGCTTGAAGCGCTTACTTTCATCGCTGTACGTTCTTTCAAAAATGAGGGCTGCACTTTGTCCTTCAAGTAATCAATATTCTGTGAGAAGTAAAACTCAGGTGCCCTTGGTTTAATGGAGAACTTTTTGCAAAATGGAACCTACTTTCTTGCAAACTCAACTGTTTCTACAATGGATTCAAATGTCAGCATGGCAGCACCATCATCTGATACATAGCAAGACACCATATCCACAGGGTAGTCCAAGGCAAGGATGGAAAGAACAGTGTTGACAGTGATTAATGGAGGTTCTTTCAATGGATCCACAGTACTTACAAAGAAATCCACAGCAACAAGTTCAGAGGGTTCACCTGCTCTTTCGTATTTGCCATGGTACAAGAAAACATCCTTTTCAGACACCTCATATTCACAGATTAAAGCATATTTAGTGGTATGACTGAAAGTTATGATTCATGGAATTGCACCTTGCGGATAGCATGTCAATGTATGCATCCCTGTTAACAGGATACCATTTAAGGAACTGATCCAACACCCAGGAAAAAGCAAACCAGATTTAGCATATGACTGAAGTGAGCCACAGACCAAAGGCACCGTCAACGGGATTTGTTACTCGGTAATGGAAGAATAGACCCAAAATGATCTACTCTAACGTCCCGAATTTCGGGTTAAGAGTTTCGGATCTTTCATCGAGCCTTAGAATGAAATTTCCTTATCTCATGAGAGACTTGTCCCAAATGGGTTTTAGTTGGGCCTAGGATGAGCCCACTAGAAAAATAGAAAAGATGATTTTAAGTATGAACCAAAGAATGATAGATTAAAAGAGTAATTTACTCATTTTTCAAAACAAAAGCTGAAAATCATTTACGAGAGATGATATCATGTTGGATGTTCATACCCTAGCCTTCACCAACTTTGCTTCCTACCTTCTACTTCATCTATTTTTTTCCTCTTCATGAAACATATCAAAGAACAATTCTCAGTGGTGCTACAAGTTTAGGTTGAGTTTATTAAGGTAAGAATGTTCTTTTCCACCTTCCAAGCTTTCATTTAAGCCCTAAAAATTAAGATTTAGCCATAGAAACCAAAAATGGGTTTAGTAAGAGTTTAAGAATTTAGGGGATTCTTGCTCATTTTTGGGGTAAGATGAAGTTAAGAAAGTGTTCTTAGACTTATATTAGTTTCTTAAATAAGCTAGTACCTTATTTTCTCCATATTATGTTAGTGAGAGAAGTGGGAGAAGGTTCCAACACCAAAGCAAAGGAAAAGTTAACCCTTGGGTAGAGGTGTTAAAAAATACTCGCTCCGATTGACACAGTCCATCGATCCACCGACCCAAACCTAAAAAAAGGGAGTAATTCTCTAAAAAAATTACCCAACTCGTAATTTTTTTGGGTAGTTGGGTTGGGTCTGGGCCAAAAAAATTTTATAACCGGGTACCCGACTCGACCCTATAATATTAATATATATATTTTCAGTTTAAATTCTTTTTTTATTTTAGGTTCCATAATATTTTTACCTTAAAATAAGATTTAAATCCCTAATTTTTTTCCTAGATTTGTATTATGTACTTTTTGGTTTAAAATTTTACAATTTTTTTTATTAATATATCAATATGAGATTAAGAAACAACCATGACCAATATTAATAACTTTAATTTTTTTCTTTTGGAAATAAACTTTAATATATATATCCTTAAAATAAACTTTAATATATATATATCCTTAAAACAAACTTCAAATCACTAATTTCAGTGTATGGATTGTGTATAATAAACTTTTAAATTTTTATGTATTTTTTAAAAAAACTAAATTAAAAAATAGATGAATCGGGTACCTCTGACCCGAAAATGTAGGTACCCATATTTTACAAGTACCCGTACCCGAACTTAACGGGCTGGGTCGCGAACTGACCAATATACTACCCGAAGAACCAGGTACCCGATTTTGAACAACACTACCCTTAAGTGATTGGAACATTTTTCAGTAATTAATGTTCTAAGGTAACACATTTCTAACATTCCTATACCATTTGTAGGCATTTTAGTGCATTGATTTAGCTTGCATTAGATTTTGAATCATATGAGCATGTTCATGGCAAATCTTAGACTTATGTGTTTTTAAGTTGTAAATTGACTCTTTATGACCCTAATAAACTCATATAAGAATTTAAAAACGTTTGGGGACCTCAATAGAGCTTTAGGGTAGCATAGAAGGGATTTTATGTGCCCAAACATGGCTTTTTCGGATGAGAGCATCGGTACTGAAAGAATAATATCGATATTGTTCTTACGAGAGGCAAAAACAAGGGAGTTTTGTGTGAGGAGTATCGATACTAGGGTCTCGATTTCGGGACCTACAGGCTAGTATCGAGACCAATTTTTCATTGTCCATTTTTGGAATCGGTACTCAAGGGAATATTGATACCAAGAGTAGAGTATCGATACTTCTAATACTCCCCATAGGAGTATCAATACCGAGGTAATTTTTTAAGCATCGAACCCAAATTTAGTATTGATACCCTGGTTAGTATCGATACCTTAACTTAGGAGTATCGATACTGATATGAGAGTATCGATACCCTTCCTCTTTCCAGGGTTGAAATAACTTGTCGAATATCGATACCCTAGATGGAGTATTGATACTCATGGGTCAGTATCGATACTGAGGTGCTCAATATTGGTATCGTTGTTCTTTTAGAGACAAGAAATTTTGGAGAACTAGATACATTGTTGAGGAACCTGAAAAACCCTTTTATTCTCCAATAAAATATCAAGTGGAAACAATATCAATAATTGAAATTTTCACATGGCAACCCTATAACTTAAGAAATCATAAAATTAGACTTGTATGATGCTCGAGAAATGAGTCGAACACACGAGTTACTTTAGTAATATGATGAACGATTATATGTAGAATGTCTGGACAACTTAGCTAGTACACAAGGCACTTCAGTTGTTAATTGGGCGTAAATGTCCCAAAACTCGACGGAGTAAGTTAGTTGGGTGATGCTTCCAATGTAGAATTTCAGATCTCACCCTAGGTAGGCTAGAGGGGTGTGTGTCTCTGAGATATAGCGAAATCCTCCTACCACACAATGATGCCTACCTCTGTGGATACTTATAACTTAACATTCTTGTATGCTATTAGTTATGTTTGTTACCATGTGCATTAGATTATGCATGTCGTATACTTTGGTTATTAGTGTGGCACTGAGCTTGTGAGCTCAACATTCAAAATTTGTTTACATGTGTAGGTTAGTAGGAGGATCATTTTGAGGAGCCATCTCTTAGACTACTGTAACACCCATAGCCTGTATACGTCTCGAAATATGAGCTAAAGAAGTCACATCAACATAGCATACATTTGTT